TTTGGGAAAACCCTTTGCAGGTCCTTTTGGGAATTGGTGGTGTCTGTCCTGCTGGTGTCTTCGTGGTCTCTCAATTTTGTTTCGGTGGTCGTTGGTGTCTTGTGGCGCTTTGGTTGTGTGTCCGTAGCGTCTTGACGGTGTCGGTGATGTTTTGGGTGTTTTGCTCATGTTTTGGTGGTGTTTCTGTCGTGTCTCGGCACTGTTCCGTAACTGCTTCTGTGGTGTCTTGGGGTCTTGGAAGGAATGGTATTTTCTGGACTAAGCCGGCCCACCTCTCAATGCCAATATTGGTGTCAAAAGGAAACACAAAACTTTGCTATTGGGGTTGTATGCTGGGTGAATTTTCCTCTCAACTAATTTCGCTCATGTCTTGCATTTCAATCGTTTCATTCTTTTCATTCATCTCGTTTCATCTCATGTCATTCAGTTTCATCCATGCATTCAAGCATTCATTCACTCTATTGCATTTTATTCCATTTTCTTTCCATCCCAATCCATTCTGTTCGGTTTCGCTTAAGCTTCTTCCAATCATTTGATTCAAGCGGTTTCTTCTGGTTCCGTAGCGCATCGCTTTGCCGCAGTCAAGTTTACATTGGCAGTGTGAAATTTCTCCTTCCCGTAGGTGCCTTTGTCGCTACAGCCGCGTTGTGTTTATGAAACTTCCGCCTCGCCTCGTGCCGGTAGTATACGGGATTTTTGTCGACCTCGCTAAGTGCAGTGCTCCCACACAGAAGAAAACTGTTCTGGCATGGCTTCATATCGGGTCCTGGATGAGGTTGTAGAATGCTCGCAAGGCGTGATCTTCATATCCGGGATAGTTCAATATATCATCGAAGATCAGCGTAGAACCGGGCACCAAAAAGGCCTTCCTCACGAGGGAAGCTTCTGCACCCCATGGAAGGCGAACTTGCACAGACGCCCCCCCAGAGACCCGAAACAATTTTTAGGAGAGCGTCTGCTGTAGGAGAACATCTGCTGCTAAAAGCTCCTGACGAGAACCTCTACCAAATCTTCAAACCAGGACCTCAACAAAGAATCTCAAAGACCTTAAAGAAAAAGGGATCTGTAGGAAGGTCATTTTACAAGAACGTGTGCAAGAGCATCCCTCTTCGTTGCAAACCCCTAAATACAGGGCATCGCCATCTTCTGCATGCCAGGACCCCTTAGAAGAATTTGAATGTACAAAGACCTCCACAGACTCTTCTCAGGAGGAACTCAACAAGATCTTGGCCCGAACCTGAGCACCTGAACGAATATTTCACAAAACCGTCAAAAAAGAACCTTCTCAAGAAGCGCGCAGGACCATCTCAAAAGTGATTCAGACAAGAACCTCTGATACTGGGCATTGGGCATCTTCATGATCTTGATGCAAGGACCGTTTTACGGGACCTCCCATTATCGCCACAAGATTAAGATCTCGACAAGATCTTGGTCCGGATCTGCACGCCAGGATCTGTAAACAGAGACTCTGACAAGACGGGTTTCTGGCATCCAGGCGCTTTCTATTTATAAACATGATTTATCCAATTTATCTACTTTGCGCGTTTTGATTGCAGAGGTTGTGCAGCGAAGGGGGCGCTTTCATATCCAGGTGTGACATGCTACAACAAGCCCCGCCTGAACACAAGCTCCCGTTGCCCCCGGGGGTATCCGGCCTTAACAATCATTGAAACACTACCGTTTTCAAACATTTTCTGACACCACCTGTGAAAACGCGATTTACTCTCTGCGGTGATGCTTCAGCCGAGATAGCACTTGATGATGTCCAAGAAAGGTGTCGCAATCCAAATGAAGCCATTCGATCATGAGTTTTGCCTTCGCAATGTTTTCTTTCACAAAGCGCGGCAACGTGTCATTGTACCTGAGATGGCTTCAAGTTCGCTTTTGGCAAAACCTATGTTGGCCGCACTGTTCCCTGCGACAAAAGCAACAATTATCGCACAATCAATCGCACAAAGCTTCGCTACCATCCCACGACCAACTTGGCATTCGGAGGAAGGTCCATGGGCAGCTGCCCCCCAGTGCTGAAACCAAATTCCGGGAAGAGATCGCTCCAATCTTCAACAAGGCCCTGGAAGGAATCAAAGCCATAGACCTGACGGGAAGGAAATCCTTGCGCCGCTAAATGAGTGGCAGTGCTGCGCAGGGTTGCACCATAATAGACGCCAAATTCCTGAAAACACATAGAACAACCCTCATATGAAAGATCGGACAGTTGCAGCTTAATTCTTTCAGCTCCCTAATTATATGGCCACCCCATGAAAAAAGTTAGCCGAAAAACCATTTCAACAGGAAAGAAACAAACGCTCCAAACACGCGTGGAAGCTTCTAGCCAAAGCCCCCATGGGCTTTCCTGCTTCTGAGATATTGTGCAGTTGGATGTGTCTGGTTTCCCTTGCGCTTTCCTGTGTTGCTATTGGTGTCAAAACCCCAGTCCGGAAGCTGTTCGCATGCAAGAAAGCAACAAACTAGCCAGAAAAGCAACAAATAAAACATTGCTAAGCAAAACCAGATTCTGGCAGGTATCTAGAGCTTTCCAGAAGGTGCCATTGTTCACGCACCCCCAGCAGCTGCTCTTGCAACAGAAGGCTTCACACTGCTCCAACGAGCGAAATTTTGGAGCAGGATGGGGCGGAACATTGGTTTGCTGCTGTCTCGCCGAATGCTCACCTCAGCAAGAATGGTAAAGCAGTTGTTGCATTGCCGCCGGCAGCAAGCGCTAGCAACCTTGTCGCAAAATCCGCGACGCTACCTCGTAACCTTACGCCTGGGTTCAAATTGTACTTTGTCTCGGTGATTGGCGGGTTTTCCAAGAAAGGTAAGCCAAGCTCGTGCGATAGATTGAAAAATTCCAGCATTCAAAATCCGATGCGCCGCCCTTCAAAGCATGAAAGGCATAAATTCACCAGTATCGTGCGAGGGAATCTGATTCCTACAAAAACATCCGCAATCCATTGCTTGAAATATTGAAATCAAAAAATACACCGGCAAGAGGCCCCAAACGTGTGGGGGGTAGAAGTCAATGTATATACCACATCCAAGCAGCAGTAGCTGCTACTGTGGAACAGCAACAAATGAGGTTAGACATTATCCGTCTATATAGATCCGTATAGAGGCTCTCACAAATCTTCATACAAGAACTTCCCGTGAGCATCACAGGAGAACTTTCATACAAGCACCAACGCAGAGCATCTTCAAGTTCTTATTGCAAGGACCTCTTGACGAGGATTTCAACAAGATATCCACAAGATCTTCTCACAAAGACCGTCAAAGACCTGTACCAGATCATGTAAGGACACCTAGTGGGTTTCAGGACCTCTTCAAGAGCTGCTCAGAAGGACCTGTACAAGATCACGCCACTAGGATCTCCACAGGACCGTGGCCAAGAGCTTCATGCCAGGACCCCGAAGAGAATCTCACAAGGTTGTCATAAAAGGATCTGCTGCTGCCACAAGAGCTTTCACAAGCACCTCCAAGACATGGCATCTGCAAGAACTTCATGCAAGGACCTCTTAGAGAGAACCCCACCAAAATCTCCACAAGGTCTTCTGTTAAGGACCTGTACACGATCATGCGAGGACCTCTTGGAGGAAATTAAGCAGTATCTCCACAAGAGCCCGTTTATGCAAGAATTTGCAATGAAAATGCCGCAGGCCAAGAGCTTGAGAACCGCGCTGCGCACACTTTTTGTGCAAGCCTGCGCAGTCGACATGCACATGGACCTGTCGCAAGAGCCATTGCAATGCGCGAATTTACATGAAACATGCCGCGCTCCAAGATCGCGACGCGCAGTTTGTGCGAGCCTGCGCAATCGAAATGCACATGGACATGTCACAAGAGCCATTTTATGCGCGAATTCACATGAAAAATACCGGAGGCAGATAGAACACCCTGATCTAACACCCTTACCGTAAGAACCCCTCAGTGTGGGGGCGCTCTTTGGGAAATGAATGGCAGTTATCAGTGGGCTTTGAGGAATTTTTGTCGATGTCAAAACATAAAGCCGCAACAGTTTCGCATGTATTTAGCTTAGCCGTGGATGGACTCCACACATCCATTCGTCTGCAATTTTAAATATTATATAATTAGTTTGGCCATCTATCTTCCTACAGAATCAATGAGCTGCGAACATCCTTGGTTTGGCTGCAAGGAGCCTATCCGGGACAAAGCAAAGAGCGTGCAAAACTAGTGCATTCTCAAAATCATGGTGCAAGATGGTGCAAGAACGTTTACAAACTCAGTGACAGTTACTGGTGTACATGCTGAGGTTTTGACAACAGTATCAGCTTCCTTGAGACTCAGTGATAACTGTCATTCATTGCAAGTTTTTTGGCGCTTCTATATACAAACCAGAAATGCTTTTACAACAACGTGGGTTTTGATCAAATTACTTTGCTTCGAGTGATCCCCACCATGACATTTCAAAACAGCTTGTTGACACCACTTTTGTTTGAAGCTTTTGTCACGGGACTTTTGCCCAACTAACTATCCCAATCATTTGTTTCACCTGGCAGGTCATTGTGCATGTCAGTCTGTCAAACAGGATATAAACATGCCAGTGGGCCATGTGAAGTAAACTCCAGAGCTCTCAACAGGTTTGCTTAAACATGACCAAACAGGCCAGTGGACCACCTGAGCCAAACAAACAAACATGCCCAAACATGTCAGCACACCGCCTGTCAAACATGTTTGTAAAAACATGACTGAAACAAGCCAGTGGACCACCTGAACCAAAGTCAAAAGCTCGCAAGCTCGTGTGTAAACTAGACAAAACCATGCCAGTGGTACTTCACCAGATCGCTGCAGCTGCAACTCTCTATCCCTCCACCAGACCTCCTCAATCAAAACCGATTAGGTCCCACAGGTAGAGCAACGTGTCAGGCCTATGCCTCCCCCGGACCTCTTCAGTCAAAACCGATTAGGTCCCACTGGCAGAGCACTGTGTCAGGATGCTTGCAATGCATCATAGACAGGCCAGGACTGCAGCCGCTCCAGCGTCGAAGCAGCTTTGGTTTCCAACTTGTCAGTCACTGGCCAATGTGCTTACTTCCACTCAAACTCCTCGCCTGCGCAGCACTCGCAGATTGGTCACCCTCTGCCATCACCTGCCAAGCAAACAAAAACACGCAAGAAAACACTACTGATCACACAACCTCCTCCTGCTGAATTCTTCTATGATGATGTCCATCCTGCCTCTGGCCCGCGATCGAGTAGATGAGGGCTCAAATGCTCCAACAAATGTTCCGATGTCACATATCCACCATGCCACCATAGCTGTGATACACAACAGAAACCCGTGTGTGATGTTGACTGTCTCAAGCATCAATCCAGCATGAGATCACTTCAAGTAATTTGTAGTAACTTGCTGTAAGATGTTGCCTGTCTCAAGCGTCTTTGCAAACAGCTCCAAAGGTACAGAAGTGGAAATGTCTCTGTCCACCCCAGTGACTCTGTCATCTGTTCAAACTGATTGCTTCAAACTTTGCCACCTGCAAAGTAAGAAGTGGCATTGCCCCGGTCACTCTACCACACACGCGCGAGTTTGCAAGTAATATATAACATACTTGTCTGACATTCTTTCTAACTTTCTTCTGCACATTCTTTGTTCCATATCTTCCTACATGAGGTCCGGCAGGGAACACTTGGCGTGGATACTCGCGGCCGAGGTCCGGCAGGGAACACTGGGCGTGGATGGTCGTGGTTGAGGTCCGGCAGGGAACACTGGGCGGGGATGGTCGTGGTTGAGGTCCGGCAGGGAACACTGGGCGTGGATGGTCGTGGTTGAGGTCCGACAGAGAACACTGTGCGTCGAGGGTCGCGGTTGAGCAGGAGGAGGAGGAGAGGAGAGGAGGAGAGGAGAGGAGGAGAGGAGCAGGCAACTGACATAAAATCTAACAACCCTCACCTGGCAGGTGGGGAAAAACATATTCTGCCATAGGGCATGTATTGGGCAATGCCACTCACTCCAGGTACTAATGCGCTGCTGACCGTGTTTTGAAAACAAGCTGCAGCAGAATCCGTTTTCGCGACTCCAGAAGTTACACACGCCGATTGGTGCCCAAAGTAAATCAAGCAGCGCCGAATCAACGCCATAGCCAGTGGCCACGCGCGATGGGATATCTTGATCGCTTGGATGGGCTCCAATACTGCGATCAACCAGCATAATCCGCGGGCGTGCTTCGACACGCATTTTGAATTGCCTTGCGTGCAAGACTTGTTGCAGGGACTTTGTGAGGCTCATGCTATTGACCGTGTGAAGATCTGTTGTCAGCCTTGCATAAGAAACCAGCAAGCACACAGCAAGCACACAGCAAGCACACAACAAATCTCTTCGACTAGGGAATGGATTGAGCTCACAAGGGTCTCAACATAAAGAGACTCGGTTGCATTAAGATCAAACGATGGGAAGATGCAGGGGCACCATCCGACCCCACAGGGATCTCAACCCTCGCCCTCTGGCAATGCATGAGGGTTGAAAGCTCAGTTGCTTGATCCACTCATCAAAAGGCGTTGGCGAATATGGCATCAAGGCCAGATTTGACCCACAAACTTGATCCAATACAGGCCGCAGCGGATCTGCGTGTGTCCAAACCTTGCCGCGCAACAACGAAGATTTCAAGTGCACCCGTCGTGCCAGGTGGGGAACAAGGACGCTGCAAAAAAAATAAAATACTGCTCATCTGTGGTGCTATGTGCAATCGGGCAACGTGATAAAATTTGATCTCATGAGCCCGTTGTAGGTTGCAGGACTCGAAGACGTGCCCAATTAATCTGCCTATATCCCCCAGTCCAATGTGCACCAAACGTGGCCAATACTTGTTGACGACTTTCATCCAAAGAACTCCCCACTGATTTTGATCCTCATTGGCGGGATGTGCTGCGAGATGACAGTCAAAAATTCAAAACATCGCCTAGAGAAGTCCCTGACCAAGGTGTCAGCGCAAAGGCTGCCACGCATTGGCCGCCCCACTGAAAGCCACTGCCATGGCCTTTGGATGTTTCAAATCTATTGGGATGTTTCAAAATTTGAAAGGTTTATGTCATTTACGATTGCTTGGATGATGCATCCTCAGCAGCCAAAGAACTGGTCAATCTTCAACACCCTTCCGGCAGCAGCCAAAGCGCTCCTGATGAGAACCAGCCTTTGATCAAAACACTTGAATGTTAGATATTGTTGGGAGACCTGCTCCTGCGATGATGTTGTCCACTAACATCTTTGAATGATTAACGGATGGATGGGAATAGATTGGATGAAATGGCTGAATGGATTGACACTTCTCTGCCTTCTCCAACTTCAGAGGCGGTATTGACTGAAGAGGCTGTGGCCAGGATTGTCTAGTGTAAGCATATTGAGCGATCGTCATAGCTTCAGAGAGTGTTACCTATAATGAATTGAAACTATCATTTTGGCCCAAGCATGTCTTTTTGAAATTTTTGACAACCTGCTAGTCCTGCTTCTGGACGGGTTTGAGACATGGGAGACAGACCTGATCCAGTAGCTGGACGATTCTAGACAAAGAGTGCAGGGTCAAGAAAAGCCCGGCCTTTCATCACGCATTCCGGCGCAAATTTGGGAAAGGTGAAGGCAATCTAGCAGCTGCGACCGTCTTGCATGTCACATGCCCAAACTTTGTGGAAGCGTCTTTGGGGAACATGATTCTTCCTGTGACTTCCGTGAGAAAGAGCGGGCGGTTCAGACTGCACGTGAAATGTTTGCTTTAATGACAGCAGTTCCCTGGCTCAAACTTAATTTGTTTGTCTGTTTTTTGGTGTGTGTGTGTGTTATTTTCTCGGCTTTGGATTTAATAAATTTCTTTGTTTTTGATATCGCACTGCCCCAGGCCAACCGTTCGCAGAACTATCCTCTGATACAGACGAGTCTTCATCATCAATGGTGGTGGAGAGTACAGGACTTGTATGCTTTGCGTCAGACAGGGTGGTTGACATGCTAGATGGGGAGAAAACCAAACAAATTCAAACACATAGTGACACTGGGAAGTCAGTGAGTCACAGTTTCTTTTTCGCATCTCAACCCTATGCCTGGCAGGCAAAGAACAAAAAAGAGAGAATTTGAAGGAATGCCGCAACGTGAATGTCAACCTTCGACGCCTTGCCGTATGCCACCAGGACCACATGCAAGTCAAAATGTGCCTCAAGAATCATCAGCTGCGCCACCAGACGTGCAAGTCAAGGTTCGATGCCTTGCCATGTGCCTGAAGAACCATCAGCTGGACATGTGCGACCATGTGCAAGTCAAGTGTCAATGCCTCGCCAAGAATCATCGCCTGCACATGTGCTAGCACAAGAACCTGTTTAATAATGCCCCCAAAGTCAACTGGTGAATGGCACTTTCTCATTGGTCTCAGCTGCCGTTCAGACCTCTTGCAACTCAGTCTGGGGAACTGACCTTTCCTCTGGTCCTTTTCCTTTTGGTCCTCTGCCTGCTCCCTCTGGGTGAGACGGCCAGTTGGCAGAGTGACAGCTTCTCCAAAATCTGGTCCAGCCGTAGAAGCCCGACCTGTGACGACACGACGGGCTCGTAAATGCCGGCCAAAGAATGATCTTGAAGAAGTATAGCATCATGTCACAGGACGGGTTCCGGATGATGGAATTACTGGTCTCATGATACATGACTAATGGCCATTGTTGCGACAGCCAGTTTACTTTTCCTTATTGTGAAACTTCCGCCCCCGGCTTGCCCGGGAACTACTTGTAGTAGTAGTAGTAGTAGTAGTTGTTGTTGTAGTAGTTGTTGTAGTTGTAGTTGTAGTTGTAGTTGTAGTTGTAGTAGTTGTTGTTGTTGTTGTTGTGGTCGTGTGGTGCAGTTCAAGGTCCAAAAGTGGCCCGGACATTGTGTTCTCTTCGCCATGTGCTTCGCGCCGCAATGGCGTGCACTTTTCCGACATCTTAATTTCAAAGTGCTCCAAGACCGCCAGGGTTTTACATTTTTGATTTCGAAATGTGCTTCGCGCCACATCGACGTGCACTTTTTGAATATCTCAACTTCCAAAAGCGCTCCGACACTGAGGTGTTTTGAACATTTTGACTTCGAAATGTGCTTCGCACCGCAATGCCATGCACTTTTTGAGCATCTCAACTTCCAAGTGCTCCGAACATGTGGTGTTTTTACCATTTTGACTTCGAAATGTGCTTCGCGCCACAATGAGGTGCACTTTTTCAACATCTCAACTTCCATGCTCCGAACGTGAGGTGTTTTTAGACTTTTTACTTCTAAATCTGCTTCGCGCCACGACGGCGTGCAATTTTTCATCTCTCATCCCGCCAAATGGCTCCGCACTCGCCGCTTTAGCGAGCCTACTTTTCGAATTTGTGGAGCCACAAATCAGTGGAAAAACGCAGTGTTGCGCCACTTTTCCACCTTTTTGGGCACCTGCATCTTCGTTCTTCTGACTCTTTCTCTTCTCTGATCTTCTTCTTCTTTTCTCTTCTCTGACTCTTCCCACCTCTGAGTTTCCATCTGTCCATATTATCGGAGGTTTGACTTCTAAACTTCCTTCGAATATACATATACATATATATATACACATAATGTTTTACTTTAGATCTTTATTTCCTGAACTATTCTGCTTATTTTTGGCTTCCTGATGATGGGAGGTGTCATTTGTGTCTTAGGTCTTGCTGATGCGATCAGGTGGCTTAGACCAAGCCAAGCACCGTGTGTCCAAACAAATGCAAGCCAGCAAGGCCTTTCATGAATCGCCCCTGCTGTCACATGATGATGGTGCGGATACACTGCATGACCTTTGGCTTTGCATTTCTGACGCAGATGCCTTGAAGGAGACTCAGCTCATTGATTGAATCTGGCTGGCAGTATAGTCTGAAGAAAACACCGTTTGTGATTGCTGGTCTGAATCTGAACTCTTGATATTACAGCAGTGATTAGCTGCAGCTCATTTTTGCTCTGTCTGATGACTTATGCAGCAACTGTGAAACCTTGGCAACAGCTTTGGCCAAGTGCTTTCATGAGTTTGGACGCTTGCCACGCAACTACTTCATCCTTGACAACACATGTGCTTGCAACAAGAACCAGTTGCTACTCAAGTGGCTCATCAATCTGATTTGCCTAATATTTTTGCCACATTCACTGTCTTGTTTCCAATGAAGGGTCACGCGCGCACACTTTGGAGCGTGGCGCGTTCTCAAAGACTTGCTATAAACATGACAACGGTGCGGATTGGACTGCCTGGATTTCTGAGATCCCTTTGGGATTTGCCAACCCCACTGGAACTCTTGCTCCACATGGCTTTCACATTTGGCGTCGCCAAAACATGAAGCAGGAGGAGATGGGGATTGCCAATGGCTCATTCGATGGCACCCCCATGCCACGTGACACTTGAGAGGAATGCTGGAAACACGACAGGCAGGAAGGAGTGCCGTGGTTTGTTTAACATGAAGGCCGCCAGTTTCTTGGTTCTCGGTCAATGCAGCGGCGGCTCACAAAGAAAGGTGGCCTAGCTGTGTAGGCCTGTAGGTAGGTAGGTATGCACGTATGTAGGTATGTAAGCATGAAGGTTAGTAGGCATGTAGGTATGTAGGTGTGTAGGTATGTAGGTGTGTAGGTATATAGGTATGTAGGCATGTAGGTATGTAGGTATGTATGCAGGTATGTAGGTATGTAGATACGTAGGTATGTAGGTATGTATGTAAGTATGCAGGTATGTATGGATGGATGGCTGGAAGGATGTATGTATGTATGTATGTAGGTATGTAAGTATGCAGGTTAGTAGGTATGTAGATACGTAGGTATGTAGGTATGTATGTATGTAAGCATGCAGGTATGTATGGATGGATGGCTGGAAGGATGTATGTATGTATGTATGCATGCATGCATGCATGCATGTATGTATGTGTAAAAAAATATGTCTGTCTGTCTGTCTCTGTGTCTGTATGTATGTATGTATGTATGTATGTGTGTATGCACGTATATACGTACGTATGTTTGTTTGTATGCACGTAGGTATGTAGGCATGTAGGTATGCATGTATGTTTGTATGCATGCATGCATACATGCATGTCTGTCTGTCTGTATGCATGCATGTATGTATATATGTACGTAGGCATGTGTATATATATATATATGCATGGATGCACGTATGTATGGAGGCATGTAGGTATGTACTTCATATGTATGTAGGAAGGTATGTATGTTTGTAAATATGTATGCATGTATGTAAGCATGGCACATGTATCTATCTAGGGAGGCAGGTAGGCAGGTAGGTAGCTAGGTAGGTAGCTAGGTAGGTAGGTATTTGGGTAAGTAGGTAGGTATGCATGTGTGTTTGTATGCATGTATGTGTATAAAGCGTCAGTATGTGTTGGTAGCTTTGCAAGTTCCCTCGTCGGCCTGGTTCTAAGAAATAGTAAAATCAGTTTTTTTTTGTTTTTTTAATATTTTTTCATCTTGAAAGTTCATTTTTTCTGCTTTTTTCTTCTTTTTTTTTTTGGACATCATTTTGAAAACTGCTTGGTATGTCACCTGGTATTTTAAAAACTGGCACTTTGGAACTTTCTTATTTTCAAAACTGGTACTCTTGGCTGCCTTTTTTCTTCAAAAGTCTCAGGTTTGTGAAATAGTTCCTTTTGAAAAACAAAAGCAGCCAAGAGTACCAGTTTTGAAAATAAGAAAGTTCCAAAGTACCAGTTTTTGAAATACCAGGTGGCATACCAAGCAGTTTTCAAAATGATGTCCAAAAAAAAAGAAGAAGAAAAACAATTTAAAAAAATGAACTTTCAAAATGGAAAAAAATGAACTTTTAAAATCTAGAATTAAAAAATCTAAAAACAAAAAGAATAATCAAAAAAACGATTTCTGATTTTTCAAAATTGGCCAAAAAAATCAAAGAGAAGAGAATCGAACAGAGTGAACCGTCCTGCTGATCAAAATTTCAGAAGGGGAAAAAATGAACTTTCATGTTGAGCCAATTTCTGGAATGAACTTTCATGTCAGACCAGATTTGCAGAATGAAAAAAAATGAAAAAAACCAAAAAAAAGGAAAAACATGAACTTTTTCGTTTTTTTTCATTTTTTTTCATTCTGAAAGTTCATTTTTTTTCTGGTCCCCCAAAAAAGTTCATTCTG